GGCCTATCCATAGGCGTGGATTTTTTAAATAATTTTTTTCAGGGCCTATCCATAGGCGTGGATTTTTTAAATAATTTTTCTCAGGGCCTATCCATAGGCGTGGATTTTTTAAATAATTTTTTTCAGGGCCTATCCATAGGCGTGAATTTTTTTAAATAATTTTTTCGAGGGCCTATCCATAGGCGTGGATTTTTTAAATAATTTTTTTCAGGGCCTGTCCATAGGCGTGGATTTTTTAAATAATTTTTTTCAGGGCCTATCCATAGGCGTGGATTTTTTAAATAATTTTTTCATAGGCGTGGATTTTTTAAATAATTTTTTCATAGGCGTGAATTTTTTAAATAATTTTTTCAGGGCCTATCCATAGGCGTGGATTTTTTAAATAATTTTTTTCAGGGCCTATCCATAGGCGTGAATTTTTTAAATAATGTTTTTCAGGGCCTATCCATAGGCGTGGATTTTTTAAATAATTTTTTTCAGGGCCTATCCATAGCCGTGAATTTTTTTAAATAATTTTTTTCAGGGCCTATCCATAGGCGTGGATTTTTTAAATAATTTTTTTCAGGGCCTATCCATAGGCGTGGATTTTTTAAATAATTTTTTTCAGGGCCTATCCATAGGCGTGGATTTTTTAAATAATTTTTTTCAGGGCCTATCCATAGGCGTGGATTTTTTAAATAATTTTTTTCAGCGACGTGAATTTTTTAAATAATTTTTACACCCTTCACCACACTGTGGTACAGGGTATTACGTCTTTGTGCGTATGTTTGCAACAGGCAAAAGGAAATGAGATAGACACATGGTTCCTTTTGGGAATATGCATAGAATCACTTTCTAAGTCGATTTATGCATGTCCGTCCGTCCGTCTGTCTGTCTATGTTAAATTGTAAACAAAGTACAGGTCGCATTTATGATTCGAATTGGATGAAATTTGGCATAGGTGACTTATTTGGCCCAAGGACGAACCCTATTGAAATTGGGAAAAATCGGTTCAGATTTAGATATAGTTCCCATATATATTTTCGTCCGATTTAAGGTAAATGGAGCTCAAAAGTCCTTATATATCTTTCTATTTGCACGAAATTTGGTACAGAGTACTTACATAAGCCTAGAATGATGTGTGCTAAATTTTGTGAAAATCGATTCAGATTTAGATATAGCTCAAATATATATTTTCGTCCGATTTAAGGTAAATTGTGTACCAAAGTCCCTATATATCTTTCGATTTGCACGAAATTTGGCATAGGGTACTGAGTAAGGTCCATAATGACGTGTGCTAAGTTTCATGAAAATCGGTCCAGATTTAGATATAGCTCCCATATATATTTTCGTCCGATTTGAGGTAAATGGGGCTCCAAAGTCCCTATATATCCTTCGATGTGCACGAAATTTGGCATAGGGTACTGAATTAGGTCCAGAATGATGTGTGCAAAGTTTCGAGAAAATCGGTATAGATTTAGATATAGCTCCCATATATTTTTTTGTTCGATTTGCACGAAATTTGGCACAGTATACTGAATTGAGTCTAGAATGTCTGTTAGGACACATATGTAGAATATACTCAAAGTGGTGAAGGGTATCATATAGTCGGCCCAGTCCGACTTTACTCCATTCCTTACTGGTTTAAGATTTAAATTTTTCCATTGGTCAGTGGATAGCCTTCATGAAAATCATAAATTGTATTATTTGTTTTGCTCATCGGAAATTGATGTTTGTTTGACAGAGATTAACACCCCCCTCCATTCCACCATCAACTAGAGTTGCATGTTGTCTATCTACATCAAAGGCCTCCATGGCATCGAAAGGAGGTGAGAATGTACGTGTGATGGATTTTGCAATGAAACTGCAAATGTATCAGATTTTTCTGAACATGAATTTTGGTATGATTTTTTAAATGGAATTTTTTGGTCGGATTTTGTGCCACTATTTATAAAAAGTAACTGGTGACCTAATTTTTTGAAAATTTCATTGATAACTATTTCCGTTTGGTTACATGAAAAGAAAAAACAAAATGTGTAACATTTAGGGTAATTGGAAAAAATAGCCCAGCAGGTGTCCAAAAAAATCTCCAACCTGTAGTAAATTTACGTCATTTATTAATCAAACCAACCAATTATACGGAATTTAAAATTTATCAGAAATGTATTGATGGATTTCTTTTTATTTCCTCTTTTTCAATACATCTTTTTTTTACCTATGTTTTGAGAAGCAAAGGCCATGTCGAACATTACCAATTACCATGTACTACACCATGTTGCCCGGCGCATTAATGTTTAATGTTTTGACCTACACCAATCCGAATCGAAAGAGAGAAAGAGAAAAACATTTACTTAGGATTTAGAGAAGAAGAAAAAAAAACATCTAAAGTATGCTGTCATATTTTGAAGAGCTTTTAAAGCCAATCAAATCGGATGGTAATGGTATAATGGGCTTAAATAATTTCATTAAAAAAATTATTCAAATATTCAAAAAATATTTGAAAAAAGTGAGTTCTATGATTGCCATGAAAAATTTGCAAACATTTGCAGATAATTAACTAGTAAGGAAAGTAGTAAAGTCGGACGGGGCCGACTATATGATACCCTTTGGACGAACATCTATATGGGAGCTATATCTAAATCTGAACAGATTTTCAGGAAACTTAGCACACATCATTCTAGACTTAATTCAGTTGGCTATACCACTATTCGTGCAAATCGAAAGATATATAGAGTCTTTAGTGTGCCATTTACCTAAAATCGGACAAAATCATATATGGGAGCTATATTTAAATCTGAACTGATTTTCAGGAAACTTAAAACACATCATTCTATACCTAATTCATTATGCTGTGCCAAATTTCGTGTAAATCAAAAGATATATAGGGACTTTGGTGCACAATTTACATAAATTCGGACGAAAATATATATGGTAGCTATATTTAAATCTTAACCGATTTTCAGAAAACTTAACACACATCATTCTATACCTAATTCATTACGCTGTACAAAATTTCGTGCGATTCGAAAGATTTATAGGGACTTTGGTGCCCCATTTACATTAAATCGGACGAAAATATATTTGGGAGCTATATCTAAATCTGAACCGATTTTCACGAAACTTAGAACACATCATTCTAGACCTTATTCATTACGATGTGCCAAATTTCGTGTAAATCGAAATATATATGGGGACTTTGGTGCATTATTTACCTAAAATCGGACGAAGATACACATGGAAGCTATATCTAAATCTGAACCGATTTTCAGGAAACTTAACACACATCATTCTAGACCTTATTCATTACGATGTGCCAAATTTCGTGTAAATCGAAATATATATAGGGACTTTGGTGCATCATTTACCTAAAATCGGTCGAAGATATACATGAGAGCTATATCTAAATCTGAACCGATTTTCACGAAACTTAGAACATATCGTTCTGGACCTAATTCAGTACATTGTGTCAAATTTCGTGCAAATCTAAAGATATATAGGGACTTTGATGCATCATTTATCTTAAATCGGACGAAAATATATATGAGAGCTATATGTAAATCTGAACCGATTTTCACGAAACTTGGCAGACCTCATTTTAGACTTTATTCATTACGCTCTGCCGATTTTCGTGCAAATCGAAAGATATATAGGGACTTTGGGGCACCATTTACATTAAATCGGACGAAAATATATATGGGAGCTATATCTAAATCTGAACCGATTTTCACGAAACTTAACACACATCATTCTGGACCTCATTCATTACTCTGTGCCTAACTTCGTGCAAATCGGAAAATATATACGGACTTTGGTACACAATTTACCTTAAATCGGACGAAAATATATATGGGAGCTATATTTAAATCTGAACCGATTTTCAGGAAACTTAACACACATCATTCTAGACCGTATTCATTACGCTCTGCCGATTTTCGTGCAAATCGAAAGATATATAGGGACTTTGGTGCGCCATTTACATTAAATCGGACGAAAATATATATGGGAGCTATAATTAAATCTGAACCGATTTTCAGGAAACTTAAAACACATCATTCTAGACCTTATTCATTACGCTGTGCAAAATTTCGTGCAAATCGAAAGATATATAGGGACTTTTAAGCACCATTTATCTCAAATCGGACGAAAATATATATGGGAGATATATCTAAATCGGAACCGATTTTTCCCAATTTCAATAGGGTTCGTCCTTTGGCCAAACAAATGAGCTGTGCCAAATTTCATCCAATTCGGATCATAAATGCGACCTGTACTTTGTTTACAATTTAACATGGACAGACAGACGGTCGGAAGGACAGACGGACATGCATAGATCGACTCAGAAAGTGATTCTATGCCTATTCTCAGAAGGAACCATAGGCCTGTCTCGATTATTTTTTGCCTGTTACAAACATATGCACAAAGACATAATACCCTGTACCACAGTGTGGTGAAGGGTATAAAAATAGGGGTCTTCATTGGCCAGAACCCATCCTACAAATAAAATTTCGTGAAGATTGATCCATAACGGTGACCTTTATCGTGTTTACAAATTATAATGGACAGATAGACGGACGGACACACATGTCTAGATCGACTCAGCAAGTCGCTATATGACGATCGGTATACTTAAAGGTGGGTCTAGGACCAATATCTCGCGGCGTTAAAATCTCTTGGGGCTGCACAAAGCTATAATACCCTGGCCACATAGTTGTGTAGGGTATAGAAATCCACGCCTTTGGTAGACCTCTGAAAAAATATTTTTAAAGAATCCATGCCTTTGGTAGACCTCTGAAAAAAATATTTTTAAAAAATCCACGCCTTAGGGTAGACCTTAGAAAAAAATTTAAAAAAAATCCACGTTTATAAAAATATTTTTTTATTTTATTATAAACAATTAATTTTTGTTAAATATTTATTTGTTGTTAAATTAATAATAAAAAGTATATGGCTTAACTAAAATCTGCCTTTGGCCCCTTACGCTTCCTTCACACCCCATCCATTGTCTCCTCTTCACACACTTTCTATGGCCTTCCCCTGGCAAATGCCGGTTGTGCCTGTTGCTGCTGCCCCGACCCCTGCTGCGATGGCACCGGAATATATTCATTCATATTCAAACTTAGACCACTCAAGTTCTGACGATCTTTCGTCTCCCGATTTGTACGATAATTCTGTTTGTAAGGCTGCAAATTGGCAGCATATGATTGTATACCATAGGTGGGTAGGGGTGGAGATGGCACCTCCACCAATGGGGTGGGTGCTGGTGGTGGCATATTAACCGGCATGGCAGAGAGCATTGTTGTCGGCCGGGCTGCATAATCAAAGGAGTGTTGTGGAGCACTTAGGGCAGGACCATATCCTGCATTCGCAGCACCCAAATATGGACCAATTGGTACCATCAGCTGGAGATATTGTACACCACCATCATTTATGGTTTGCGGCAGGTATTGCATGAGGACCGGCGAAGGACCAGCACCAGCCAATACGGGACCTGCATTCAGATAATCTGGGGGAGCAATGCTGTTACCATTTTGTATGGGTGTAAAATTGGTCTCGACATCGGGTAGCTTATAGGAGGGTTTAAATTGTTCATTGTTGTTGTTGTGATTGCTATTTTGATTAATGATGTCATAATTTGTGGCAAAAACACTCAACGTATTCAAATGGGCATCGGATGGCTTGTGTTGTTGTTGCTGCTGTGCCTGATGCTGTTGTTGTTGTAGATTATTTGTCTTGGCAGTTTTACTGTTGATTTCGGGATTTGAAACTGGTCCAGCAAAGATATGGCAGGGCAATGCCAACAAAAGTAAAAGTAATTGTGGCGTATGGGGTCTCAGGTACATTTTTGTTGTGTTGCGTTGTTTTTGGAGTGGTTTGATGCCTTGGGTATGTTTGTTGTTGTTGTTTTTTCTTTTGTCTGTTAAAAAAAGTGAAAAAAATGAATGGATGAATGAATAAATAAAACGATTAATGAATGAAATCAATTAAGAGCTTAAATTCGACTGGATGGAGGGCCTATTAGCCGCTGGGTTTTGAGTGCCGATGATTTGTTAATTATAAATGTTTTGTAAATTATTTCCAAAAAAATTGTTATGATGTAATTCGATTTTAATAATAATAATTCTCTATTGACCTTGGTGTGTGGAGAAAAACTTTTGAGCCCCATTTACCTTAAATCGGACGAAAATATATGGGAGCTATATCTATATCTGAAACGATTTTCAGGAAACTTAACACACATCATTCTAGACCTAATTCAGTAACCTATGCCAAATTTCGAGCAAATCGAGAGATACATAGGGACCTTTGAGCTCCATTTACCTTAAATCGGACAAAACTATATATGGGAGCTATATATAAATCTGAACCGATTTTTACGAAACTTGGCACACATGATTCTGGACCTAGTTCAGTACTCTGTGCCAAATTTCGGGCAAATCGAAAGATATATAGGGACTTTGGTGCACCATTTACCTTAAATCGTACTCAACTATGTATGGGAGCTATATCTAAATCTGAACCAATTTTCACGATACTTAGCACACATTATTATAGAGTCAATTTAGTACGCTATGCCAAATTTCGTGCAAATCGAAAGATATTTAGGGACTTTGGTGCACCATTTACCTTAAATCGGACGAAAATATATATGGCAGCTATATCTAAATCTGAACCGATTTTCACGAAACTTAACACACATTATTCTAGACTCAATTCAGTATGCTGTGCCAAATTTCGTCCAAATCAAAAGATATATAGGCACTTTTGTGTCCCATTTACCTTAAATCGGACGAAAATATATATAGGAGCCATATCTAAATCTGATCCGATTTTCCCGAAAATCACCACTCATCATTCTAGACTTAATTCAGTACGATTTGCCAAATGTCGTGCAAATCGAAGGATGTATAGGGAATTTGGTACACCATTTACATAAAATCGGACGAAAATATATATATGGGGGCTATATATAAATCTGAACCGGTTTTTCCGAAACTCACCATTCATCATTCTAGGCTTAATTCAGTGCGCTATGCCAAATTTCGTCCAAATCGAAAGATATATAGGAACTTTTGTGCCCCATTTACCTTAAATCGGAAAAAAACTATATATGGGAGCTATATCTGCATCTGAACCGATTTTCTCCAAACTCACAATTCTAGAGTTAATTTAGTACCCTATGCCAAAAAAATCCAAGACTTTTGTTAGAAACTGAAAAATATTTAAAGCCAGTGAAATTCAAGTTTCAGAATTTCAAATCTATCGGTTCATCCACAATTCAATTTGTGCCAAATTTAGGACACAGTAGTACGAATTTCCAAAACTTCCTATTTAACCCAAGTTCCAGGATTCCAATTCTTTCGATTTACCAACAATTCAAATTGTACCAAATTTAGTACACAGTAGTACCAGTGATCCTAATACAAGTTCCAAAACATCCTACATACTCCAAACCTACAACCCCCACAGTGATTTAAATCCAGGTTTCAGGATTCCAACTCTATCGGTTCACCCACAATTCATATTGTACCAAATTTAATACATAGTAGTACCAATTACCAAAACTTCGTACATACCCCAGTCATACACACCAACAGTGATCCTAAATCCAAGTTTCAGGATTCCAATTCTATCGGTTCGTCCACAATTTAAATTGTACCAAATTTAGTATACAGTAGTACCAGTTTCCAAACCTTCCTACATACCCCAATCCTACACCTCTACAGTGATCCTAAATCCAAGATTCAGGATTCCAATTCTATCGGTTCACCCACAATTCAAATTGTACCAAATTTAGTACACAGTAGTACCAGTTTCCAAACCTTCCTACATACCCCAATCCTACACCTCTACAGTGATCCTAAATAAAAATTTCGGATTCCAACTCTATCGCTTTACCCACAATTCAAATTGTACCAAATTTAGTGCACATTAGTACTAATTTCTAAAAATTCCTACATATCCCAATCGTACACCTCAACAGTGATCCTGACTCCAAATTTTATGATTCTAGCTCTATGGGTTCTCCTCAAAATTCAAATTGTACCAAATTTAGTACGGTTTAGTACACATAAGTATTATTTTCTTAAACTGAATCCTGATCCCAATTCCACAACCCCACAGTGATCCTTACTTCAAATTTCAGTGTTCCCGCTCTATCGGTTCACTCAAATCCAAACTGTACCGATTATATTACGATTTAGTACTTTTCGTACACACAAGTAACAAATTTCTAAAACTACATTCCTACACTACAACGGTAATTTTAATTTCAAATTCCAGCTCGATTTGTATCTCCAAATTAAATGTGTACCAAATATAGTACCATATAGTACTTTTCGTACACATGAGTACACGCTTTCAAAACCTTAAATCGTCCTTAAATGGACCCTACTTCTCAACCATAATTCACACTCCAAATTTCAAGTTTTTAGCGCTATCCGTTCAAATGCTACAGAATTGTACCAAATTTAGTACATTTTCGTACTTTTCAGATAGTTATAGTTCGAATTTCCAAAAATTCTTTGGTACATCTATCCTATACTCCATCAGCGAGCACCAATCCAATATTCACTGGCCAAAACCCATCCTACATGCAAAATTTCGTGAAGATTGGTCCATAACTGTGGTCCATGACTCTATCCCAAGGTGTGGATTTTTATACCCTACACAACTATGTTGTCAGGGTATTATAGGAAAAGATTGTAACGCCGCGAAATATTGGTGATAGACCCACCTTTAAGTATACCGATCGTCATATCTCGACTAGCTGAATCGATCTAGACATGTGTGTCCGCCCGTCTGTCCATTACAAATTGTAAACACGATACAGGCCACAGTTATGTACCAATCTTCACGAAATTTTGCATGTAGAATGGGTTCTGGCCAATGAAGACCCCTATTGTTTTTAGTAAAGTTCGGTTAATATTTAGGGGATGAAATGGACCAACACAATATTTTTGTCGTATTTTCTGGTCGCTTGAGAGGCCGCAATTAAGACCCAAACATCGCGATTTTTACATGGAGAAGGGGATCGGGCCAAAGAATAAACATGCCTGTTTTGATAAGGTTAGGTTGAAAAGAGGGTGGACGATACTACCACATGCCCAACATGAGAACGACAAACGCATAAGCCATTTGGGGCCTGTTGTGCACTCTAGAAATGCGGAGAAAGTCATGTCAAGAATTAGTGAAAGTTTATATTAAAAACATTTGGGTTTGATTCCCCTATGAATCTAGGAATTCCGTGTTTTTTTGCGAACTCCTTCAATCTTCTCAATTCACACCCCCTCAGATCGGTTAGTCCATGAAGAGTGTCATTTCCCAAGAATTATCTGCGAAGGCATGTAAATGCTGGGCAATGGCAGAGGAAATGTTCCAGCGTTTCACTGTCTTCCCCACACGCTCTGCACATCCAATCGCATCCAATCTTGAGTAGATGTGCCTTCAGGCTGAGGTGTCCCGTCAGAATACCCGTCAGTCGTCTTATTTCTTTTTTGTTTAGCGTTAGGATTTGCTTAGTTGATAAAGATGTTTTGATAAAGATAGGTCAATATTTAGCGGTTCAAATGGACCCTGACTTTTACCCCTGAAGGACATAGCCCCGAGAAGTGTATCTAAGAGGATTGGTTGACCTTTAAATTGATACCAATTATATTATCGTATGTGTTCGGATGTGGGAGTTACACTTAATTATTTACAGGTGATCAGATAATAATTTTGGGATTAAGTGAAACGAAAACTTAATTTTTTGTTTTTTTTTCGAGTCGATCTATAGATCGGCCACAATTGAAAGCTGAACATCACAACACAGCCCACGGTAAAGGAAATCTTGGAAAGTAATTAGAAGGGCTGTACTGAATATTAGTAATATTTGTTGACTTCTAGTCAGTCAAGAGGGTGCAAATATCGCGAAATATTGCCCAAGCTCAGAATGTAGTACCACACGCTAGAGGTCGGAAATATAGAGCTGATGGCTTAGAAATTTTTCATGCGGATCCAGATATGGTCAAGAACGACGCCTACAATTATCGAGGATGATCAGATAATAATATTGGGATGAAGTGGAATGAAAACTTAATTTTTTGTGTTTTTTTTTTCGAGTCGATCTATAGGCCACAATTGAAAGCCGAACATCACAACACAGCCCAAGGTGAAGGGAATCTTGGAAAGTAATTAGAAGAGCTCTACCGAAAATTAGTAATATTTGTTTGCACCCTCTAGACAGTCAAGAGGGTGCAAATATTGCCCAAGCTCAGAATGTGGTACCACAAAAAGTTAGATTTTAGTGGAAGTTGTGTGGGGCATCATATGGTCGGCCCCGTCCGACTATACTGCTTCGCTCACTGGTTTAAAATTATCATTTCAGGGTTTCAGGTGTATATTTAAAAAAAAATATTTTTCAGGGTTTGTGAATTGAAGTGGATTTGAAAAAAATATATATTTTTCAGAGTCTATCCGTGGGAATGGATTTTTTTAAATTTTTTTCAGGTTTTCAGAGCCTAACCACAGACGTGGATTTTTTAAAATTATTTTTTCAGGGCCTAACCCCAGGCGTGGATTTTTTAAAATTATTTTTTCAGGGCCTAACCCCAGGCGTGGATTTTTTAAAATTATTTTTTCAGGGCCTAACCCCAGGCGTGGATTTTTTAAAATTATTTTTTCAGGGCCTAACCCCAGGCGTGGATTTTTTAAAAGTATTTTTTCAGGGCCTAACCCCAGGCGTGGATTTTTTAAAATTATTTTTTCAGGGCCTAACCCCAGGCGTGGATTTTTTAAAATTATTTTTTCAGGGCCTAACCCCAGGCGTGGATTTTTTAAAATTATTTTTTCAGGGCCTAACCCCTGGCGTGGATTTTTTAAAATTATTTTTTAGGGCCTAACCCCAGGCGTGAATTTTTTAAAATTATTTTTTCAGGGCCTAACCCCAGGCGTGAATTTTTTAAAATTATTTTTTCAGGGCCTAACCCCAGGCGTGGATTTTTTAAAATTATTTTTTCAGGGCCTAACCCCAGGCGTGGATTTTTTAAAATTATTTTTTCAGAGCCTATCCATAGGCTTGAATATTTAATTTAATTTTATTTTTTTTATCACATTTTTGTAAAAATTGTATTAAAACACTTCGACATATTGCCGAGTAGGAGGTCACTATTTTTTGTCCATTGACATATTTTTTTAACTATTTTTTTTTCAATTTTCTTCAAATATTTTCCATAGAACTGTGACACTTTGAATGTTTTTTTTTTCTTTTTTTTTATTATTATTTTTTTTAATTCTGCAGAAATATATTTTTTTATAAATTTTCTTGTCACCTTGTTGTTTTAAATATTTTGCACTTTTAATCCTTGTTGGCCTTGACGGGACAAAGTCGTCACTGGTGGAGACTGCTGCTACTTCGGCTGCTACCCCTTTGACTTACGAATTTTCTTTAACTCTGCCAAGATGTTGACACAAGCTTTTATAAGGCCGAATGGAAGCCGTTCGATCCACTTGTACAAGCGGCAGTCAATTTTTTTGTTCGATGGTCGGAACGGTCTTGCCATAGACTGAGCGCGCCACACTAGCCATGAATTTGTAAATTCATTTTCCTTTAAAAGTAAAACGTGAAGCGTTGCCAACATTTTCTTACCGACAAATGAAATTGAAAGTGTGTTGACTTACAACTTGTTTGAGGAGGGAAATTCGGAGGAGGAGGAGGAGGAACATGATTTTGTTACAATAAAATTTACAAATTAGAGGTCAATGTTACTTGGTGGTTCGGAATTTTTTATTATTTTTTTCTATTATAATTTGTTATTTTTAGCCAAACTTCTAACCGCACTCTTAACCGATTGAAAATGAAAAATCAACTGATTTTTGATTTTCGGCAGACCAGTCCAACCACTTTTTCCCCACCATTTGAAATTGTATCAAAAAAAAAAAATATTTTTGAATAACATAATATTTAGTTTTTCCGGAAAATTCAACAAGTTCAATGCACGTGACTAACAAAACGGGTTTAGCCCGTTTCGAGATTGTTAATAACAAATTGTTTTAATAAACATTTTGACCAGTATTTAAGACAACAAACACGCGTGCGTGAGCGTGTGTGTGTTGGTTTTCATTGTTTGATTTTAATTTTTTCCAAGACAGGCCATCATGTTTTCTTCACAATACCGGCCGTTAGCCAGACAGACAGTCATTCAATTTCCACAGAGTGTGATTACCGTAACAAACTCCCCGCTGGCAGCTGACCACCGAGGAAAAATGTTGCATTCCATTTGTTATAATTTTCCAAAAACAAAAAAAGATTTTCTTGTTAACTATTGTTGTAATTTATTAAATAGTTTCCGCCGCAGCCATCATCGACTGTTGGTACCATTTAAAAAAAATGATGTTTAACTTAGTTATGAAATAATTTTTCTATTTATGTTCGTGGATGTTGCAGGTTTTAATCCATCACATATGGCTAAACAACTGGTGCAGATTATTTCATGAATGGCAGATGAATGTATGTATGAATATGAGTGTGTGTGTTGATTTTTTATGGAAGGATGTTAATACGGAAACGAATCTGAAATTATGATATCATTTTGGTTTCCCCCGCTCCAGGAAGAAGACCAAGGGGTCTTCTAAGGAAAAATGAAAAAAAAACGTTAAATAAAAATATTTTTAGGGTCTATAAAAAGGCGTCGATTTTTTAAAAATATTTTCTCAGGGTCTAACCACATGCGTGGATTTTTTAAACTATTTTTTTCAGGCTCTATCCCTAGGCGTGGATTTTTTAAACTATTTTTTTCAGGCTCTATCCCAAGGCGGTGATTTTTTAAACTATTTTTTCCGACTCTATCCCAAGGCGTGGATTTTTTAAACTATTTTTTCCGACTCTATCCCAAGGCGTGGAATTTTTAAACTATTTTTTCCGACTCTATCCCAAGGCGTGGAATTTTTAAACTATTTTTTCCGACTCTATCCCAAGGCGTGGAATTTTTAAACTATTTTTCTTTCATGCACTATCCCAAGGCGTGAGCTAATATGTGCCGCGAGTTCACCCATAAGAACTATAAAAAATCGGTTGAGGCGTCGAGTTAGTTGCCCACTCTCGGAAAACCCAACCTACTATGAAAAAGCAAAGAAAAAGAAAACCAAACCCCTCTAATGTTGACGACCCCCGCAAACGCATAAAGGACCAACGATCTGCCAATCTGCACTTGGAATGTGCGCACGTTGTACAGAACAGAGGCAGTGTTCGCTTTGGCGGTTATACTCAAGAAGTACAAAACCGATATTATTGCCATACAAGAAACGATAGGGAAAGGGACAGGCGTAAGTAAATTAGACGATTACGCCCAGTATTATAGCTGCCATGAAACGAGACACGAATTTGGCTGCGGATTTATGGTCAACAGGACAATAAAAGACCTCGTCTCCAGATTCACTCCAGTAGATGAGCGAATTGCAATAATCCGCATAAAAGCGAAGTTCTGCTACATACTCAGACCGAAGACAAAGATGAACAGACCAAAGGCATTTTTAAGAGCTCCTAGAAACAGCATATGATTGCTGCCCTGGCCATGGCATTAAAATTCTACTAGGAGATTATAATGCAAAAATATCTTGAAGAGTTTTATGTGAATACCTGCCAATAGGCCTACCTCACAGTGGCTGAGCCACAGGCGGAAAAGCGCCCATCAGCGCACCAGCACCGAAGTACTGTACCAATTGGAGAGCATGCAGAAGGCACACTCTCCCGCGAATGCAAAAAATCGGAAGGGAAAATATCTTTTGCCCCACCTTCGGAAATTCAGCCTTCATGAAGAAACATCCGACAGCGGCAACATCCGACTTCGCGGCAGCTAAAAACATGGTAGTTAGCAGCACCAGATTCAAGCATCTCGATATACACAAGGCCACCTGGATTTCTCCGGATCGTTCGATCGATCCGAGGAGCGAATATCGATTCGGACCTCTACCTTGCAGCAGCCAAGGTTCACACTCGTCCCAAAGTTTGCAGCAAAGGTGCGATCTAACATAACACGGAAACTTGACGTCAAAAAGCTGCAAATTAAACAGGTAGCCGAGGCTCAACTTACCCACCTGCTTGAACAAAACACTTCTTGTCCCGATAATAGTATAGAAGTACAATGGCAAAGAATTGCCCACTCCCTACAAACTGCAGCAAAAGCAAAATTTAGGTACCAAAAACCACCACCAAGAAACACATGGTACGATCAGGAGTGTCGTAATGCTACTGATGTGATAAACGTAACGTATAGGGCAATCCTGCGGACAGTAGCAACACGCAGTGCGTTGGAGAATTTTCGGGAAAAGATGAGAGAGAAGAAACGTATTTTCAGAAAAAAGAACAAGAAACACGTGAACGTAAGCAAATCGAGATGTACTGGAGTCAGAATGAAGTCCGAAAATTCTACCAACGGGTGAAACACCAAACAGAAGGCTTTGGTGCAGGCACATCCTACTGTAGAGATGAAGAAGGAAACCTGGTGACAGATAGAGATAGCGTGTTGAGGATCTGGAAGGAGAATTTTGAAAAGCTTGTGGTATCAAATAGTGGCGGTGAAGAAGATACCCCAGAACCAATAAGGGTTGATGGTATAGAATGTATACTACCTAGTCAAGAACAATAAAGCAGCAGGTACCGATGAGTTACAAGCCGAACTATTCAAGACTGGTGGTTAGATGCTGGTAAGGACCATTCACCAGCTGATTAGTACAATTTGGCTAGAGGAATGCATGCCCAATGATTGGAACCTCAGCATCCTGTGTCCCGTGCACAAAAAAGGAGACAAGACGATATTTGTCATCTATAGAGGAATAAGTCTCCTTCCCATCGCATATAAAGTGCTATCCAGTGTGATGTGCGCACGATGAAGCCAATGGTCAATGACATTATTGGACCATACCAATGCGGCTTCAGACCTGGCAAATCCACCATTGACCAGATGTTCACTCTGCGCCAAATCCTGGAAAAGACCCACGAAAAACACATCGACACATACCACCTATTCGTCGATTATAAAGCCGCAGTCGACTATAAAGCCTATCCCTTCAAAGGTTATTAAAGCCATGTCTACGTTCGGCATTCCTGCAAAATTAATACGGCTATGCAGGATAACTTTGAGTGGCACATGGTCAGCAGTTAAAGTAGGAAAAGACCTATCGGAGCCCTTCAACACCGAACGAGGATTCAGACAAGGTGACAGATCACACGACAAGATATTTTTAACATCCTGCTGTAAAAGGTCATACCAGACGCAAAAGTGAACGGAAATGGCACTCTGTACACAAAACAACACATGTTACTCGCTTACGCCGATGACATCGATATAATGGGTCGAACATTGCGAGCGGTAACAGCTACCTTTGAACAAATTGAGAAGGAGTCTGCCAAAGTGGGTCTGGCAGTAAACGGCGAGAAAACCAGTAGTCCAGTAGACTCGGGCCAACTGTGAGACTTGATATCTACAGCTTCGAGGTAGTTAAAGATTTTATATACCTTGGTACCGCCATAAATAAAACGAATGACATCAGTTTTGAAATTCGGAGAACGATTGTGATGGCCGAAAGATTCTACTATGGTCTAAGTAAGCAGTTTAGAAACAAAGCCACCTTTCGCCAGACCAAAGTCACACTTCACAAGACGCTGATTTTGCTGTTATATGGATTTTACTTGCGCAAACAGATTTGTTCTTGGGGTGTTTGAAAGAAAAAATATTAATTGTTGAATATAAAAAAACCAGTTATTCTCGGACATCGGCATTGTTAGACGTATTATGCTGCAGCTACTACGTTGGCTAGGTCATGTTGTGAGAATGGATGAAGATACCCCAACCGAAAAGGCATGTAAAAGTGAAATAATCTTTATTTTAATAATTATGGCCGTTACTGACATTGTTTTTCATTTTAACGCCTAAAAGTATGCTAAGGTATTTTCACGTCACTACAGTGTTTACGTTGCAAAGAAGGGTAATAAATGGCTATATTATTTTTATTATTTACTGATTTTATTTAATTTTTAATAGAAAATTGAATTGATACCAATCTAACTAAGTGACCTGTCACTTTGGGGAGAGTGACTCAACACGATTTTATATGTTTTATTATTTAAATAAATCATAAAAAAAATTAAATAAAAAAAATACTATTTAATTTTTGCCTGGTATTTCATCAGTCTTTAATGAACAATGAATCGCTTAACACTGATTAAGGGTTGCAATGCTTTGGTATAGTTCCGAGAAACTAGGTTCCAATCTTTAAATCGTTTCTAATTTCTAAATAAATTAGATTCAGACTTCATATGGGAAAATTTTTATAAATTATTTTGGTGGGAGAATATACATATATATATTTTTTGTAAATCAATCCATTGACTTAATTACAATATAAATTTAAAATAAATTACTGTTAAATATTTTCAATAATTTATTCAAAATTATTGCCATATAGAAAAAAACAATTAACTAATTATTGTTTGGGGACAAAGTGTAACAAAACAAAAGACTTAGGCAACAAACGTTGCTGTGATTTGTGGAAATTGTTGCAAAAACCCAAAAATGAGGGGCCAAAGGCAGACACATTGGCAGATACACACAAAAATTTATATTTAAATATGTGTGAATGTATGTATGCATGTACAGATATGTTTGAACACATGTTAGTGTTTATTGTGACCATAATGACAAATGATGTATGGATGACTGAGATGTCAATCGCTGCCAAGTGTTTGGCCAGCTAATTTAGAGAGAAATGACACACAACATCACTCAACGTCACACAAACACACACACACATAAGAAGTGATAAACACATAAAGCTACCGAATAAATGTTTGTTTGAAATGTGCGACAGTAAAGAAAGACAACAACAACAAATACCAAAACAATTTGCAAATAACGATAAGTTTTTTTAATGTGAAATTAAAAACCCGAAATTAACTAACAATTTCGCTAAATATTTAATGGGAAAGGGAAAACCACCAATTGTTAAATAATTTATTTTGGGTTTTTATGGTTGAATTGTGCGTGTGTGTGTGTGTGACCTGGAACAGGAGCATAAACAGAAATATGTAAGACAGTGGGATGGGATAAGTTAGGTAATGGAGTAAAATGCAAGAGAGAGAGTGTAAAGGCCCTCTTGTAATTGAATGTATGACTAATGTTTGATTAGAGAAGGGTAGAGGTTTGCTAAATACTCTAATAACAGTGGGCATCAGCAATTTATTTAGAGTGGAGGATAATTTTTCTAAATTAATATGGATTTTTTAAAATATTTTTTTTTTTTTTGAAGTCTAACCACAGTCATGGATTTTTTTTTTAAATTTTATGTTCAGGGTGAACTGTATTATTTTAAATATTATTTAGGGTCAACCCATAGGCCTTGCTTATTTATATTTTTTCATGGTCTATTCTCAGTCGTGTTTTTTTAATATTTTTTTGGGGTCTATCCTCTAACATGGATTTGTATACCCTCCACCATAGTATGGAGGGTATATTAATTTTGTCATTCCGTTTATAATTCATCGAAATATTCATTTCCGACCCTATAAAGTATATATATTCTGGATCAGGGTAAAATTCTAAGACGATCTAGCCATGTCCGACCGTATGTGGTAATCACGTCATCTTCTGAAGTAATTGAGATAGGGTGCTGAAATTTTGCATAGGTTTGTCTTTTGTCTGCAGGCAGGTCAATTTCGAAGATGGGATATATCGGTCCACGTTTAGGTATAGCTCCCATATAACAGTACCCCCCAATTTTCGGTATTTTGGCAATCTTGAGCGCGTTTTTCAACCGAATACGCTGAATTTTGATACATTGGGCTCTTATTAGGTACTAAATGTCTCCACAAAAAATTATGAATATAGGCCCATCTTTTCTGGTAGCCCCCATACATAACGGTACATCTTAATTTTCAGTATTTTTCGGGGTTTTAAGCGTGTTTTTCAACCGAATTCGTTGAAATTCGGTACATAGAGTTCCTATCGGGTACTTAATGTCTCCACAAAAAATTATGAATGTAGGGCCAGTTTTTTTGGTAGCCCCCATATATAACGGTACCTCCTAATTTTCAGTATTTTGTGGGGTTTTAAGCGTGTTTTTAAACCTTATTCCCTGAAATTTGGTGCAATGGGTTCTTATGGGTTCTGGGTACAAAATTTATACACTAAAAATTATAAATATAGTTCAATTTTTTTCGGGTAGCCCCCATATAAGGGTACACCCCAATTTTCAGTATTTTGGGGTTCTTGAGTGCGTTTTTCAACCGAATTCGCTGAAATTTGGTACATTGGGTTCTTTTTGGGTACCAAATGTCTCCACTACAAATTATATATATATCGATCCACATTTTCTGGTAGCTCCCATATTTGGAGGATACCGTTACCCACCAAATTTACGGTATATTGGAGGGTTTAAGCGCATTTTAAACCGCATTCGCTGAAATTTGGTACAATGGGTTATTTTGGGGTACCAAATTTTTTCACTTAAAAATTATAAATATTGGACCTTTTTTTTGGGTAGCCCCCATAAAGACACCCTCAATTTTCGGTATTTTGGGGGTTCTTGAGGGCATTTTTCAACCGAATTCGCTGTAATTTGTTATTTTGTAGTCACATAGGGTAACAAATCTTCCTATCAAAAATTATTAATATTCGCCCCCTTTTATATTAAAATAGTTTGCTGATTAGTTCCGTGTGTTGGGGTTGTCCCCACATAGGCATATTCTACCATAGTTTAGGGGATAGTCGTTACTCGAAAATGTCAGTTTTACCCTACAAATTATGGAATTCTAAGACAATTTAGCCATCGGTTCCGCTTTCTAAGGAAATAGTGATAAAAAAAATTTG